ACCAACCTAGCTGTATTTCAGGTTGATGGCTGTTTCGTTCTTGCCAGGATTTGTCTAAACCTGGGCCCCAAACATGGTATATGTATAGTTGTTTGCTTTTCTTTGATGTTTTGAAGTTGGCGAGTTTTCAAACTGGGAGCTGCGTGTAAAGTCTCTGTTAGCCTACCAGTATAGAAGAACCTTTTCAGACTAGTATCTCAGGCATTTTCGATGGCTACCCCGGTAGGCCCAAGGCAAGTAGCAGCTAGTCAGCAGTAACGAGCGGGCTCAGTGTTCTGATTGGAAATTCATTTGCAAAGTTTGTGGGAAGGTAGGAAAATTTGCATTGCTATTTTCAGTGCCAGTTGAAGGAGAGATGAGGCGAAGCCAGAGTGAGTGAAATCTTTTTTTTTTTTTTTTTTCAAGTAAAAAAAAAAAACAGTGAAATTTTGCTGTTCACTGGAATTTTTCTTTTTTTTTTTTTTACGGAATCTCCTGTTTTGTAAAATCAGAGAGATTTTTTTCGTTGACTGAAATCAAGCTTTCGTTGAAAAGTCTCAAAAAGTATGCCTGAAATTCTGTTTCAGAATTCAGTCCAGAGGTGCACCCGACTTTCTTTTTGTTTTTCAGGGAGAGGGTTTGGCATGCCGGACCCTCAGACCAAATATTTGGGCTTCTTTTTTGGGCTTTTCAACGAAGCCCAATTTTGTTCGTAACGAAAAAAAAATAAAAAAAATATCGGTTTTGAACTTTTGATGAAATAGCAGTTTGGACAGTTTGACAAGCCGATTGTTGGATGTTGCTTGCTTGGGCCGGACATCAGGGCGCGCAGACAAATTATTACTTTTCATTATTTTCTTTGAATTTCAGATTTCTTCAACTATTCTAACATTGATTATCAAGTGGTTCAAGGCAGAATATATCAAATTCTATTTTGTATGAAGTTTCCAGTAAAGTATGAGCAGGTGTGATGATTATTGAAATTGGATGAAACATTTTGAAAATTTATGAAATATCTTACATGCTTCTGATTTCCTGTTCGCTTTCTGTCTTCATCTTTTTTTTTTTCTTTTTTTTTTCTTTTCTTTCTCTGTTGACATTTTGATTTCGCTGCTCTATGTTTTCGTGTTATCCAGATACGTAAAGTGGTGCAGCCAGTGGACACCGACTTCTTTGACCCAGCAGCTATCAAAGATTTTCCGTTACCTTTTGGGGTACGTGTTTTTGGAGAACCACCTGGCGAGAGTGTTGACATCATTCCTGGTGCGTGCCCTGTCTCTGTCTCTGTCCCTTGCTCTGTCTATATCTCTGTCTCTTCTCAAGAAGAAAGCATGATTGTATCTAAAACAAAAAAAAAAAGAAAGGAAAAGAGGTAGTCAAGAAACCATACTTGTGGCGCATGGATGAAGTGCGCTGCACAGTGTGGTGCGCTGATCGCAGATGCGCAATTATAAATAAAAAAAAAGAGAAGCAACCATGACGTGTGTATACGCTGGAGAGAGAGAGAGAGAGAGAGAGAGAGAGAGAGAGAGAGAGAGAGAGAGAGAGAGAGAGAGAGAGAGAGAGAGAGAGAGCAATGAGCCCTTTCAGAATCTTCAGACAACTCCTGCCGGTACTTCAAAAGGTCCCTGCCAAGGAGAAGGGTAGTGACTGTACTTGTAGTAAAGAGGGAGCAGGGCATCTATATATGGTGTAGCTTCGAACTCAGGTCCGTGTTCAGCAGTTATGGGTTACTGACTTACTAACTGGGCATGCGTTATGCGGCACACGCGCGCAACTTGTGCGCACGTTATGCGCCGCATGTATGCAAGAAACACATCGTCTTATGGTTTTACCCGACGAATACGTACCTGGTTGTTGGCCAAGGATAAACTGGCATAGCATTTTATTGATTACTCATGCATTCAAGAGCACAAGTTCACATTTCGCAGCACTAGTTTTCATCTCGTCATGTCAGTCTGCCCAATATATTGCAAGTTAAATGATGTGATTTGGTAGATATTCTAGAGGACTGGGATTCTGTCTTGTGGACCAACACTCCGATGCAACCATCCTTTGTCCTCAAACAGCTCTACTGACAAACTGCCCAGGCTGCAACAGAAACAGCATAACAAGTTCAACAGGTATAGCCTATTTCAATCCAAGATCCATTTGTCTAGATATTTGAAACCACCAGTACACGCCATACATCAGCTGCAGGTCCCTTTCGGAGGTCTGAATTGCATCGCCAGCTGCTGACGTTTTTTATAGACGGCGCTTCGGCCCCAAACTTTTCGGTCCAGGTGAGGAGAGTCTTTTAGCAAGGCTGGGGTCGTGTACAGGGTGTGTGTTAGATAGCTTTCATTTTCACAGCAAGAAATGTGGCCACATCAAGACATGTGGCCGTTCCTTCTCTCTCTGTTTTTTCTTGCGGCCTCCGCCCCCCTTTGCAGGTCAGTGGGCAAAGGTTTCCTTCTCTATGGTCTGTGATTGCAGTGTTTCGTTTCTTGTGCGTGTGTGTGCCTGCGCGTGCATGTGTGTGTGTGTGTGTGTGTGTGTGTGTGTGTGTGTGTGTGTGTGTGTGTGTGTGTGTGCTTGCTGATTTCTCTTCGCCTTTAATACTCTGTTTGCAGCCGAGACTTTTCTTGCGGCCTCCCCCCCCTTTGCAGGTCAGTGAGCAAAGGTTTCCTTCTCTATGGTCTCTGATCGCAGTGTTTCGTTTCTTGTGCGTGCGTGTGCCTGCGCGTGCATGTGTGCATGTGTGTGTGTGTGTGTGTGTGTGTGTGTGTGTGTGTGTGTGTGTGTGTGTGT